ATGATTGATAGGCTGCAGATTTTGATTTATTGCATTTGCAAACCTGTAAAGCATTATGAGATCAGCATTTACGGGAAATTTGAAAGTGTAGAATAGCATATAGAATGCACGCAATGCAAAAAATATATGAAACATCTAAAGTGTACTGTGTTTTATAACATTCATTAGGGAAAATCGTTTTAATTCTAGTTTTTTAATTACATTTTAAAAAATTTGAACTTATATAAAAATTTCTGATGTAGTTATGATTAACAAAAGTTTGGTTATGAAATATTTAGGCATTGATTATTAAACTTCAGTGAAATGCTCAATAACTGCTGATCCATAACCTGTTAACACATTAGCTACGGATTTGCTGGAATGCATTGGTAATACGTATTAGTTCGATTCATTATAGCAGGGTTAGAGAAGGTAATTTCAAAATATGTGCTACGTATGGAGTGCTTATAATACGATAAACTAATATATGAACAATAACATAATTTATTCAATACTAATTCACTCGATGAATTTCAAAAAATTCCGATCGATGAGTACTGGCAGTAAAAATCCAATTTTTCTTCAGGTAAAATGTGAATCATTTGCACTCGAGAAACTATCAGTTGCTATTTGATTGATCGCAGTAAAATTTGTCTTTATATTCTTTTTAAAAATGTCACTAATATCTCATTAAAAATATTGAATATATATAATGCAAAGCATTAAGGCAGGGTTGTAAACTCTCAAGGATAATTCGGTCTCACCATTCATGGTTCAATTAATTGTGAAAATTAATTTAAAGAATACTCGCAAGAAAATTAAAAAATTAAGCGTGTACCCGTCAAACGTAGGACGAGTGCACCTAGAGTATATGTTAATAAAAAACCAAAGCAAAGAAGAATTACATGTTTATCTGAAAAAATAAATAATTCACCATTGAAAGAATTAATGTCATATCAATGGTGAATTATTTATTTTTTCAGATGAAATGATATTAATTCTTTCAAGCTTTAAGATGTCTTTTATACCCGTAAAACGCGATTAACTGGATAACAAGAAAAAAAGAAGAAGAGAAAGTTCATCTCCGTACCTTTATCAGTGTGGCTAAAAATTCACACGTTTATGAAACATTCAGGGTAGACCTCGACCCCGGTTCACTTTATTTTATAGTCACAGCCAACGATCTGGGTGAAAATGAAAACCGCTTATGACCGATTGTCATGGCAGCTGAATAGATTAATCCTCACGTAATGACGCAGTGAAGATGACGGCTGCAGGGTTCAACGAGGGTTGGCGGAACGGTCGCGGAGGAAACCGGTTCACTCGTTTAGGAAATTGCGTGATATGCCCGTCGAAATTTAATTCCAACCTACGTATGGGCAGAGAACTACTCGAAGTGCGAGCGATAACGAAGCTTCTTTCGTTTCCGGTATCGTTAGTGCTGGATTGTGGATCTGATGCACCTGAGCGTCGTTGAATCAAATGAAATATAGTAGAATTACAATTTTTTAGTATTCGGTACTGAACAAACGAATTAATGTTTGGTTTGAATTAGTATTTCATAGTTTAATGAATGAAATTGGTATTAGCAGCGTTACGTTTATGTTACTGATGTTAAGCAATGACTCCAGGACAACTAAGATTAACAGACTAAGCAAGTTGTAATTACAGAAATTCAAAAATGAAATAAAATTATTTGACAAAAACGCTCTCTATGTTTAGCACTAGAACTGTCGAGTATTTAATACGATTAGTATGTAATCCCTATACAAATTGTAACCATAGATTACTTTCAGCTTGTTTTCAAGTGAAACCATTTATTTCCAAGAGCATTTCGAATATTGAATGCTTTAAATACTAGAACTACCGTACCAGTTCAAAAAACTGATTTCAGTTCTTTGTTTCGCAATTATTGATATTTCGAAAGCATTGAACATTCAAAATGATTTTGGGAATACATAGTTTCACGTGAATACCATAGTGAATGTCTGAACAAACCGAGAATAACCTATTGTTACAGCTTTTACAGAGATTACATATCAATCGTATCAAATGCTCGGTAGTTCTAAAAAATCGAAACCAGTCGTATTGACTGGTACGTTAGTTCTAGTGTTAAATCTTGATTTAAGAACCCGCACGAGCTTTTTCCGGTAATATATAAACGTACCAATGCGGTACTCAGGTGTCACTTGTTAGCTCCTAGCGTGCTTTTATGTGAGTTACCAGCATGTGTATTCCTGCTTTTACGTCGATGCGAAATTTACGAGCAGCTCGGGGCTCGCGGTCTCTTCCAATTGCGGTCTCCACGTAACCACGGAACAGGATAAATTCGGAGCAAACCGGGAAACCGAGCAATCGATTCTTTCGCCTCTTTTATAATGAACACCTAACAAGAATGTAAGAGGCTATTCTCGTTTGAAGAGGTCGTTTCTTGAAATGGAGCATTACAATTAATATTTAATGAATTGGTTAACCCTTTGCACTTGAAAACCAAATATCAAAATTGATATTTAATACTGAACTGTGTGTAATGCATCGGTGTGTGAAATATTGGGATGAGAAAGCTTTCTCAATTTACTTGTGACTTCTCTTTGAGTTAGTTCCAAAAAACATCGTCTTCCTCCGATTAGAAAATGTTAAGTATTTCTAACGAAATACTCCCGAGTACAAAGGATTAATACAACTCAATTGATATGAACAAATTCGGAGTTCGTTCCATTAGATTTTTATATATTATATATCATTTCTATATGATTATTGTAAGCTCTATCCTTATATCTCACTCTGCTGTATCTTGTTTCATTTGCATTCTTCGCGACGCGAATCGGCCAATAGCAAAGATCAGTTGAAAAAGCGTCAACGTCGTTCTAACAACAATTCGCCGCTTCCCTCTCTCCCGACTTCAATCTCTATCCTTACATCTGACTCTCGCGTTTAGTCCCGCTTCCGTCCTTTGTTACTGCCACGCAGCCAATACCGACCACGCGTCGAAGAACGAGGCGGTCCGAGCATTGTGAGTGGAAGTGTCAAGCCGCTCACACTTTTCCGCTCGTGAGTAGCCTGCCATCTTGTCGGAGATGCACAATACTTCGGGCACCGATGCTCTGCGGCAGTGCCGCCCAGTCATTGGATTGGTCTCGAGGCAGTGATCGAAAGCTGCACGGTCCACCTTGAGTAGCGTACCACCTGCTCAGGTACCAACCTGCTGAGCTGGTAGAGTTTTGTACAGTTTATCTCCATGGGACTCGTCATTCTGAACAGTCTACTCTGATAAGACTTCGGTCTCTACTAATTGGGTCTCATTCTAATCTTAAAGCACATGGGCGCCGTCTGAGGTAGAACTTCATGGCAGGAACTCGGACGTTAAACTGGACAGATTCGCTCTGTGTGCTTTTAGCTTGTGAAGAATCAGCACAGCGTGAGGCGAACGGTACATATGCAGCGATGCATGACCTGATAGCTGTAAATTGAAATGCGCCGCAGTCAAATAGCTAATTGTACACGGTATGCGGCGGCGGTAGGGAACGGTATAAAACAAAGCAAATATGAACGCGAATCACTGATCAAGATGCATGCCAGTTAAAGCTTGCTGTGTCTGTAACAGATGCATACATTTCATACTGCATCCTGTTTAGCAGCGTTATGTGTAGTAGCATCTAGTTTAGTAGAATTCTGTATATTAGTATCTTATTTAGTAGCATTTTGTTTAGTAGAATTCTATATATTAGTATCTTATTTATTAGCATCTTACTTAGTTGAATTCTATATATTAGTATGTTATTTAGTAGCAACCTATTTAATAGCGTCCTATTTAGCAAAATCTTATTTAGTAGCATCCTACTCAATATCATACGAACTACTCATCATTGACGTGCTTTTTTACTAGCACGTATATTCCCACCTTAACAGATCGAACGTTTACACCTGCTCGTTCCTCTTCTGGCACCGGCGCTAAACACTGCACCGCGTTCTGCTTCGCTCTCGTAAACGCGATCGTAACTCGGCCGTTACCTCGGGAATATATACAACGGCAGTCGTATTAAACTCGTCCGTTGTATTTTTTACTTCTTTATTTCTCGCCGCGAATGTCGGCCACTAAAGTTTAACCTTTCACAGTTGCTAGGATTCATCAGTTTCACTTAGTACTCGGTTTTTCTCCCCACGAACGTTCGTTAAATGTTACGCGCTGGGTAAATACACATAGCGCGATGGAATGAAACATTCGACCGATTCGAATGGAAAACGTATTATTAGCGTTAACTACTTATTCCATGAAAAATAAGTTTAAATGGATTAATTGCACTAACAGAAATCCTTACCGCGTTACTTCGACGTTAACGCAGAACGCCAATGAAAGGGTACGACGAAGATATAACTCTATAAAGTAGAGAATGAACATGACCGTCAATTTCTTATTTATATCTCACTTTTTCATATTCTGTCATGTACGTTCTTCGTTATATAATTGATCCAATAACAAAAATGAGTCGAATCTTCCCCTTGCTCTTGTACACTTTTAGCTTATAAAACTAAATGTTATAATGTTATAAAATAAATATTGTAAAACTAAAGTGTGAAAGAAAATTTGACGTTTGGCATGACAATGTCAGCTTCGAGTTTGTTTCTCTTCTGGAAGACAGTTTCCTTTATTTGACGCGCAAAAACACGTGTGACGCTTGTTCGCTAATTGTTCTCGAGTTGTCCGCTCAATGCTTATAATTACTACGCGCCCCAAATATATATTTCACACTCACAACCATTTGAATATTATACCCTCGCGATACTCACCTATAAACACTAGTAAACTGTATCCCATCGCGAATATGTTAAGCGCAATCCGCAATCCGTCACGCACTTCGCGGCGAGCGAGGCCGTGCGGCCATCTTGTCGGTCCCCGTAACTCCGACTAATTTCCCGGGAGGAAATAAGCGAGAGCGGAGCGTCCGAGTATAATTTAATCGAGCCCGCTCGCGCAGCGTTGCTTCTTCTCTCGCTTAATGGAGATAATTCTTTATCTGCAGACGCGGCGGGGGAAAGGAAAATACCTGCGATTACCGTCGCCGACAATTTAGAAGAGGTATAAAGAGAAAAACGAAAGAAAAGGAAATCCGGAGGCTGCAGAATGGTTTCCTCGGCAATCTTCGGGGCAGCCGCCGGCACGGGTTTGGCGCTGGTCGTCGCGATGACGATCGTCGTGTACCGGTATTACGCGGTGAAGCGGAAGGGGAAGTACTGGAGCAACCTCGATCGTTGGCCGGATCCTCCGACCACCAGGAGGCCGGAACCGAGGCAGGAGGATCCGCTGCAGCAGTCCGGCGACGCGACCTCCTCGCACGTGCTCAACTGCTGGAAGAAACAACAAAAGAACTACTACGCGGTGCAGTCTGGGGTAAGTGAATTGTAAACTAGATTTCGGACGTGAACTGAAACACAGGTACTCTCGTGGCACGTGAAACGCGTATTGACCCTTGCGTTGGCAAACTAAAATGTTCGTGTTTCACGAAATTCTAGCGTCAAACTTGAAGTTCATCATTTCGTTGTATATTTCGTTGTTAGAATATTTACCCTTTACGTCCAGACATTCTTAAATCTCTAAAAACTCTTTAACCCGTTAACTAGGGGGGTAGTGTCAAAAGACTTTGATCGTGCACGTAATAAAATTAAATAATGAAGTTTATACTGGTCGAACGCAGCTTAAATGTATTCGTAATGTATTCTAAAAAATCTAAAAAAATCTAAAAAATCTAAAAAAATTGATAATTCAACGTAGGAAGAATTAATATCATTTTAATTTTGAAGATAACATGTACACACGTCAAGCACGGTTAACTGGTTTAATATATTTACTGTGCAATGTAAATGTTTTACACTATAAGCTGGTTATTTTCGAAGCACAAATATTCGGAAAATGGAGGTCCTAAGCGGTTCCGTGAAGTTTTCACGAGAACCGATTAAAGTTACGTAGAAGGAAGTTTCAAATTGAGTACTCGAGTACCAGGTTAAGTACGTAAGGGTTAATACATTTACGACCAGTAACGTGGTTCTACGTCATTTTACACTTTTCAGCTGAATTCTGTCGTTTTTTATTTCTCGGGAGAATGATGGTAAAATTTTTAGCTGAATACTGGTAACGTAATCCTATGTCATTTTCAATTTTCTTAAGAAAACAACAATAACGTCGTTCTACATCGTTTTTAATTTTTTTAAAAGAATGCTGGTAACGGAATCCTGCGTTATTGAAAATTTTTTAGGAAAGATTCTTGTAACGTATACCTACAACAATTTACATTTTTTAAAAGAACACCAGTCACTTAATCCTACGTCATTTTCAAATCTGCTAAATATGCACAACATAGTTCTATCATACATTTTTCATATTTGCATATATTTGAATAACAAATGACTAATTTTCATGAACTTGTTTCTTAATAACAGTTCGACTACTAGTTTCAGCTTTTATAACTTATTTAGTTACTTTTTGGTAATGACCTTTTTTGGAGTATTAATTAAATTTTTCTCGGTGTTACCCTGTCTGGAATAAACACATGTCCTAAAGATCAAAAGAAATGAAAATATCAAAAATATTTTCGATCTAAGATATTTGTATGTTGGGTACATCATAGCTTGTTTATTAAAAAATGATTGAAAGAAAAGAATTCTGGAATTTGCAGTAAACATCCGCCACATTGTTAATCTTTAATATAGATTATTTATTCTTGTACTAGGGATAAGACAGGCAGAACTACCCCTTTAAGACGATAAGGGTTTGTGTTCTTATTACACGTGTAATACAACGAACATAACATTTTGGAAATAAAAAATGTTATAACGGAAAGTACGAACTAATCAATTTGAATGCTCGATAGTTCTAGCGTTAATTTAATTATAACTAGAATAGAAACACTACATTTTCTATTTATATTTGATACGATCACAATTTTTCAGATAATTGTATCAAAATTGACGAATGTCAATTGTGTGCTTATAAGTGCACAATCAGTATTCGAACATCTTGTGTTAGAGGATTTAGATCAGAAAATCTTTTTAAATAAGAACTGTAACCTTAGAACTTTTGCACTTCCCTTTGCACGTTAGACCTTTCTTTCTCTTTAATTTTTATGCTTGCTAAAAATGTTTGAACTTTAAACGTTACCGGAACAAGCAAAAAAACTCTCGCGAGCACAATCCATTGATTAACCTTTAATGATAGCCTTGAATGACAGAATGTCCCCCCTATCTTTTTAAACCTACGCAATAAAAAATCATTCTATCTCAGATTTTTAGTTATAACTCCGAAAATGCTCAATCGATTCGACTAAAATTTGTTTAAAAATTTTGGTAAATGACTAGGGAGTGTTTTTGTGGAATTTCAGTTTAATATAATGCCTCATTATTTTTCAGTCAAAATTTATTTAACCTTTGTCACTTAAATATTTTCAATTAAATCGGTGTATTTGCACAGATACAGTTCATAATAATTAAATTACGTCTATTCCGAAAGTCTTGTATTGTGTATTAAATACTATTAAGTAACAAGTAATGTGCCGAAACGCTGGTGATCACTAATGACTTTACTGTTAATGTGGTCACCTCAAAATAAATTGAAATATAAAAAGAAAGAAAGGCCAGGAGACCCTTCGAAACTCGAAAAACGTATTGTTCCAATTTTGATAAAAAGTTGGAAAGGAGTCACTCTACTTACTCGGTAGTTAGTGTTAAGGGTCTACCTTTCATCAACGAACTCGTCAATACACAGCGCGCACGTCGAACATTTTAAACCGACAGGTAATTATCCGGCTATTTGTATTAGGGTTAATAGCATCCGTCGTTTGTTTTATCGAGTTAATTACCCGTGCTCTTTGCACGGAACACACACGCCTTCGCATGCATTACACTCCGTCGTCGAGGTAACTCGAACGTGTTGATTTAGAATTTAGAAAAATTACGCACCCCTTTAACCTCTCGTTTACACTTGAAACTTTATACTAATCCGCTTTCCAATCACTACGCGTGATTAGGCAATTTTAACGTGCTGACTGATGGTGGAACGTTTTGAGTTATGAATAGACAACGATTGTGTTGCATGATAACCTGAATGTTCGTATATTATTCATAATATCTTTTTAAATACTACTCACAATTATTTTTAACCCTTCACACTCGTGAGGTGTGTTCATTGCAATCTGTATAACAGAATTATAACATTTATAATTCAATATTAAATTTTGTATAAATATTAAAAATGGAAATGAAACAGTTCTGAATGACTTCGAAAAACATCAAAATTTGTGCATCGATTCAACATTTTATCGATTATTCGTGGAGAAATTAATTTGAGAGAAATATGCATTATTCCGTTGTAAGTTTTGGATATTAAAGAAATTAAAGAATTGCTCATTTTCAGGTGTTAATTTCGCGTGAATTTAGTACCACATAAAGAGAAAGTTTGTCGATTATCTTTTTTCTAAAAATATAATCAGTTGTGCATAATATAATCAGCGAAATAGGTCATTTCCCACGCAACAACGGACTGGTTAGTCTGTTCCCAAGGCATCGATTCGTTGCATCCATCTGGAATCCTATTATGATACAGTATTTATTCGACAACGTGATTCATTAATTAGTTAATGAATGTCAACGGTTAATTAGGGGCAAACGAACGCCTCGTGTACCCTTCATCTACCGACATAAAGCCATCGACGATGAAACAATTTTCTTTGCGTTCGATTATTTCTTCTTTTTATTTCAATTATAAGGCTCTTAAATTGAATCACTTGAAATTATATAAGTCCTATAACGAAATTAATTGGTTTGTTTTATAGTTCTCTGCTATTTGACAGTATTTGTATGTTTTCAAAAATGTTAACACTATTTTTACCACTATTTCTACCAAGAGGTAATTTAACGAAATCTATTAGAGACTGATTAATATATTCTAATAAATAATCCAATGCAACCTAATAAAAACTTCTACGCTAAATTAATTTTACAATCATTACGAGAAAAATCGGAAAGTTCATTGAAGGAAAACGATTAAAAAATAATTTTAAGTTAGAGTATTCCAAAAGTTTCTTTTAACGTCTTCGGCAAACATACTATTCTACCTGAATCATTCACTTTTAAAAATTAATTAATCATCGCTAAAACTCTTAACACGCGAGATTAAGTAAAGTAAAGAAACAAGTGGGTCAGTTGATCAGATTTCCGAAGATCACCGCTAGGAGAAACATATTTTTAGTGTCGGAGATTCACCATGAAATGGAACCATCGATAATGGTTTTGACATCCATCAAGGCCGTGCACGCGTGCTGCAAACATGTCAGGTTTCTATGTGTCCAGTTAATATCCAATCTGGCTGCGCGAGCGAACGCCATGTGTGCAACGACCGCAAAATAAATATCGAGGCACAATCCATCTCCGTGTCATGCGCGTGAAAGGTTTCTATACTGAAATGCAGGAAAAACGTGGATGATTCTCCGAATTCCTATGGTTTCTTTAAACTGTCCCCGAGTTTTTATATTGATTTCATAGGATCCTCGAAAACAGTGACGACTCGTAGTTAAAATTAACGAAGGTGCTGCTTCAGAAAATATTTAGCCTTTATTTTAAAATGTTTGCACCTTTTTCGTAAACTGACTAAACCGAGCTATTGACGTTAAGCTCAAGGGTTGTACATTGTACAAGTATAAAGAAACAATTAAAAAAAAAGGTACTCATATTAATTGTTATCGATAACAGCAAGTGGAAAGAGTGCTCGAAACTCTTCACTGCTGCAGCTATTTAAATGTTATCTTCCGTTATATAACAGCTGTTCGTAATATTATAATCCCTGAAACATTGTTTCGTTAATAAATTATAGTTTCCAGATTTCGATAATTCAGAATCGCATGGTAAACCTGCGATAGATTTCAATTGATCGATGATAGTGGTACACGAAGGATAAAGTGCGACTGGCAAGTAGAAAAGGTCGGTGCTAATACCGACGTGACGTCGGTAACAATCTCAACCATTTTACCGACGTACAAACTGAGGCGTAGACCACAGACTTAGCTATGTGCCCAGTTTATCCTGTCGCTGGTTAAAGTGCAGATCATCGACGGAGTAATGAAGATAACTGCCTTTCTGAGTGTAGGTGAAACATGGGTTTTGTCGATAATAAAGATTGCCTTTTCATCGTTCGTTGCTCACAGTGACACAGATTTAACCATTTGCCGACGAATGACGACATTTCGAGATGACGTTTCTATATTTGGAAGACTAAGTCGCGAACGAATGATTTAATTACTCAGCAACAGACACGTAATTTCCTTTTTCTATATTTAATTAAACAATTGATAGATAATTCAGCTTCATCCGCTGAAGCTTTTGTATGTTTCAAAGAATCTTTGT